GCGCAGATTCCCGCCTCATTCCCGGCGCCCCGTCACCTAGGTCCTTCAGCGCGCGCCCTCCGCGTCTGCGCCGCCTCGCTTCCCCGCGCGAACTCCTCGCGAGCGCCTCCCAGCTTCCGGGTCGGCCTCCGACTTCCCCGCTTCGACTCTCGAGCGGGGCCAAAGGGCGAGAGCGCGGCGGAGCCCTCTCCCGTGGCCGTTAAGTCGCGTGCAGGGCAGGCCCGGCTCGGAGAAGGCGAGGGCCGCGCCGGGGAGGGTTTCGGGTTCTCTCCGCCCCCGCTTCGTTTCACAAAGGTCCCGAAAGAAAGCCCGACGACGCAGGCGGCAGCTGGAGGCCGCGGGGTTGAAGGAGAAGCGTCCGCGCAAGCTTCCCTGGGTTCTTCGCGCGTCTCCAAACAGCTTGGGCCCCCGAGGTGCATCGGGAAGGGAAAGAGCCCTCCCCGCCTGCTCCCAGGGCGGAGGCGGCGAGGGATTGCCGTCCGCCCGGCCATGCGGAATGAAGCAGCCCATTCCCAAGGAAGCACTGTTGAAAGAACACGACCAAGAATCATGGATGGTGCTTGAAAGGCTAACAAATGGCGCGCCCTTTCACAGGCTAGAGTCCCCCTCGCTCAGAGGCGTCCAGGAGCGCCCCGAGCTAGCGCCCTGGGGTTGGCCCAAGACATTGGAGGAGAGCCTGAAAGGGGAGGGGGTGAAAACGACGCAGAAAATCCTATAACCACCTCAACAGGAAAAATATAATAACAAAGTAAATAATTGAGAATTTTCTGCCCCGTTAGAACACCCAAAACCCTAGAGCCTTAAGGCGACGGACGACCTCGCTATGTCCAATGCCCCGTTGGCAGGTTTGTATCTACGGGGACATGAGGTGGGGTACAAGAGGAAGGCAATGCGATGCAAAAGGTGCTCGCTGTGGCAGTAGTACTATATGAACTCTGAAATGCACATAAATGGCCGTTCACCAAGCCATGCTGATAATGTGAATATCCTGGCATAGTTACATATCCATCAAGTGTGAGATGCTGGCTGAATAGAGAGCTTCAGAAGAGGCTAGTAAACCACCTGCGAGAAGTGTGACAATCGATTTGATGGCGTGTCATCAACAGTGTAAGAGAAGGCCCAGGTCCCTTGGTGAAGTTGACTCAAATCCACCAAAGTTTAAGCCATAATTGATTTTATTGATCTTTAAGACAGTCGGAAAATCTTTGGTGATTTTGCTCCATGCTACTGTTTGAGCAACTTATTTCAGTCGCGGTTTCTCACATAAATGTATGTCGTAGCAATCATTACCTGCTTGTTGAATATCCCCATTAGTTAGTTTGAATAAAACTTGCTTCAGAGCATCGTGGCTCTAGCAACTTGCCATCGAATTTGAATGACTCTGGAAGTAACAGCAAAGATCACTTCCAGGAAATATCTCGTTAAAAAGCAGAATAAGCGTCCTTCTTTCTTGCTTTGGACTTAAAAAGCTGTTACTCAGTCTAGTTACGTTAACGTATCCGCTTTTCCCTGTAAATTTCCGCAAGGGAAATAAATCGGTTTTCGACCGGAATCCCGGAAACACTGTACTGTATAGAGACAGTGAGATGCCTTTCTACTCTTTTTTGTAACTCTGGAAATTCTCGCGCTCCGAGTGTGTGACGTCATCCTTTCCCCGCCCGGTAGTCTGGGCTGCCCTCCATCATGGAGGTTTTCGGGAAAGCGGTTCTTAAAGACCCGCACCAGCTCCTTCCTGAGGGTTTCTGGGCGGCCGTCAGCGTGTGGCTGGAGAAGCCCCAGGTGGCAAACAAGCGGTTGTCCGGCGCTCGCTTGGAGGACTCCCGAGGAGTAGCCCGGCCTCGGCCTGGAGCCGGCGGAGAAGGGACTCCCGGACTCTCCCGGCAATCGGTGCTGGAGGCTGCTTGGGAAGCTTTCTGCTCCTCGGAGGGCTATAATGAGGTCCTCGGTCTCGAAGGTCGCGAGGAGCAGCAGCACCAGCAGCTGGAGGTGGTGCTCAGGACCCTTGTCCCCAAAGGCAGCCCCATCGCGCCTGAGGAGGAGTTGGTGATAAAAGGTGACTTCGCGAGGGGAAGCGTGGCAGGGCAGCCTCCTGCGAGGGAGTTCCCCAGACCTTACCCTTTTGTGTGCCCGGAAGTGGAACTATGCCAGAGGTCCCTTTTTTGTTACATATTGTGGCTGGTAGCTTTCTATGACAGAACTGATTGTGGCAATCAGCAGCATGAGAGGATTATACAGTATTCACAGAGGTCAGTGCATGGATTGAAGCATGCTGATGTAGATAGAAAGTGCTACTGCCCCCTGTAGATGAAAGCTTCACCATCAGAATTTTAACTTCAGATTGTAAATCCCATATTCCAGTTTTTATGTAAGAAAAGGGTTTGAGCATCACGTGGCAAACACTATATTCCTGTTTTATGTAAATTGTTGCCATGTGTGAAGATAAGCCTATACAAAAATAGTTTGTAAGAACTGGTACTGAATTTCCCAGTCAGGTCCCAATGCCGAAGAAATAAGTGTATGTGTGTGACTGAAATACTGGAAACCTGTCTGGGGAGCCTGGTTATTTAGCGCTTAGAGAAATGTGGCCTTTTCCATGTTTCCTGAATTATTTTCAGAGCATGTCTGTGTAAATCAGTTATAGAAGACATACTCACTGTCATAGGATGAGTCCAACTTGCAGTGCTCTCCCTGATGCTTTCCTCAGCATGCAGTACTGCTTGTCTGGTGTCAGGAGTCCATGATGTTCAAGAACTCACAGTGTTTTTCAGTTGATGCCCTAGCTGGCCATTCTATGGTGTCTTACACAATTCAGAAAAAATCAGGAAAAGATTGTGTGGTCTCCAAAACAATACATATGCATTTGTTTTGTTCTCCTTAATGACATTTAATATTCCTTAATAATCAGGGCTTGAAAAATGCACTCGTTCACTCATCTGTGATGAGTGAAAAATGCTGCTGGATGATGACTCACAGCTCCCTCCCTCCCTGCCTCCTTCCCCTCCACCTGTCTCTCTCTCTAATCCTGCAGTCCTCCCCTCCCCTCTCCCATTGCAAAAGGAAAACAGCCCTCTTCTCACGAGAAGAGAGTTTGAGGCACACATAGAGATTTAGCTCTGCAGGAGAATGTAGAGTAGTTCCCTGCTGGAGAATATGGAGAGCTCTGCTCCCAATTTCAACCGAACGAGGACACGTCCTGGGGTGGAAGGGAACCGTGGCTCCTCAAGACGCTTTTGCTTTCAGTTTTATTTTTGCTGGAGACATTCAAAAGAAAGGCATTCAAAATACAGTGGTGCCTTGCAAGACGAATGCCTTGCGGCATGAAAAACCCGCTACATGAATGTGTCTGGCTAGGGTTTTGGTACCTCACAAGACTATGTTCCTATGGCCCTGCTTCGCAAGATGGGCAGGGGAGAAAGCACAATTATTTATTTCCAGCTCTTTTTCGGTGCTGGGCAGGCCCAGGGGAGCTTCTAAGACCCAGCGCCGATCAGCTGTGAGGCGGGGAGGGAGCGGAGAAGAGCACGAAATGGCTGCTGCCTGCCTGCTGGGTCCAGGCTCTCAGTTGTTGGCACTCTTTTTCCGGCTTTTCGGGGGCTACCAAGGCACTGTGAGGAGCCGGGCTCAGTCTGTAGTACCTAGTAAGTGACTTTATTTTAATTTTTTGTTTGTTTCTGACTTTCCCCCCATAGGAATGCATTAATTAAATTTCAATGCATTCCTATTGGAAAACTCGCTTCACAAGACGAAATTTTCGCTAGACGGCATTAACCATGGAACAGATTAATTTCATATTGCGAGGCACCACTGTACAAGCTTCATGACCCTACAGGCATGCAGGTAATAAAGCAACCCAAGTCTGAGAGTATAAATCAGTGAGTCCCAATAAATTGCAAGGCCATAGTCCAGGCATACTGACTGGTGAAATTTTTGACTGACTGGTGAGGCATTCTAAATTTTTTCAAGCCCTGTTAATAATATTTAATAAAAGCATATAATTTTGGACCTACCCACAAGAACGTGGTGCACAGCTGAAGAAGATGGGTTTTCACCCAAAACCAGCTGTTTGTTTTTGACACAAATCAGGCAGTTTGCTGTTGAACTGGTTTTCTTTCTTGTCCTGTCTTGTCTTCTTTAAATACGTTAGTTAAATGCCATTTTCCTCTTTCAACTTTAAAAACCAATAATAAGGAACATTACTGTCTTTCTTTATCTCAACATAATCTTAAATTGTCTCATTGGTATGATGTATATACACCTTATTGGAAGCCGCCCAGAGTGGTCAACCAGACCAGATGGGCCGGATATAAATCAAATAAATAAATAAATAAAAATATATGTTCAAAAGATTTTTGTTAGAATTATAGTACTAGGACAAAACTGTGAACCCCAGCTTTTGACATTTCTTTTTCCCTAATAATATAATGGTTTATAGGTGTCTCTCATGCTGTTTTTCAAATCAGTTTGCCACTATCTGTAAAGCTAGTAGCACATACTGTGAGACTGTGATCATTCAGTCTGTGGTATTACCATTGCTGTAAATTAATTTTGAGGGCTTCACTTCCTGTTGGTCTTGATTGTCATGTACAGTTGGGGTGGTGATACTAGCCTCCCCTGAAATGTTATTTTTATGGAGTACCAAAAGGACACAGTAATTAAAAGGATAAAAAAATCATAAGTATTATTTACTTTACTTTTCAACTATTGTTTGAGTAAATCAAATTATTACAGTTTATACATATTTACAGATATTGATAATGGGATTGTAACCTTTTTGCCATTGGAGCAAACCCATGAAGGCAAATACAAAGTCAAGATCTGTAATGTTTACCAAATTCGACTTCAGCATATACAAGACAAGGAATGGTGAGTGCTACAAACATTATTTTGTGTCTTGTTTAATTAGCAAATCTTGTGGAATTATTTCACTGTATTTTCAGATCAGAAGAATTACGTAAACTATATGAGCAAAATTTTTTTTTACATTTGTTGGATTTTACAGTTTGTGATTCAGTTATCCTGTGGTTCTCTGAAGCTTAAAACATATTTAAATGCAAATTAGGAAGGTTGAAGTGGACGTGGTGACACATATCTTAGTTATGTCTAGACTTTATTATTGCATTAATGTATTAATGTCTCTGGGAACTTCAGCTGCTGATAAGTGTGGCAGCAAGGCTTCTGGTGAGGGCTTGACCCCAGAGGATATATAGCCCATACAGCTATACTGGCTTCTAATTTGTTCCCCCCCCCCATTAACTAACACAGTGGTGAGGGCTTGTTATTAACTTTTAAAGCTCTTTATTGGGATGAGCAACTTGTAGCTTCTGTATGTGGTTGAACTGCATCCTTCTACTTTGGTCAGGTTCTTTTCCATAACACAACAGTGGTGAAGGCATGAATAATTGCAATGCCTGACAGTACTTTCTATGGCTCCATCCAAACTGTGCAATGTCCTTCCCCAAGTAATTCACTTATGCAACCCCAGCCTTCTTTCAAACATTTTTATTCCAACAGAAATTTTATTTGTCATGTTGAATAATTTTAACTAGAGATGGGAACAGACCTCTGATTCCATAGTTTGTGCTGGTTCATCCATCGGTCCAACAGGTGTTTTGCAGTTCTCGGCCCTGCTTCCTCCAGCAGGCGCAGACTCAGAGGCAGCACTTGGAGGCGGCAGGGCAGAGAAGCCATGGCACTGCCTCGGAGTGCATGTCCGCTGCAGGGAGTGGAGCTTGGAACCTCAGAATACCTATTCAACTGACAGACAAACCAGCAAGAACTACTGAACTGGTGATTCATTCCCATCTTTGGTTTTAACAAATTATTTATTGCTACTACTCTGTTGTATTTAAAATGTAATTACTAGGGGTTTGTGCCTATTTTTAAGTTACTGTAAACTTCCTTCCATGTTGTGACTGCAGTGAAAGGGCAGAATGTACTTTATTTTTTAATCTTTTTTAGTATGAATAACAAATGTTGTGAGACAAAGTTATAACTGTCTGCAACCAGAACAGACCCATCTGTCTCTTCTGAGAGGAACAAGTACTGTTCTGATTGAGGTAACTATGTCAAAATAAACTAGGCAATTTTCTAAATCAGTGGTTCCAGTCATATGTGGACCCCATTTTCTTAAACTGTACTCTTCATATCAGCAAATTTTTGTAATTTATATGTCTACTGGACTTAGGACTGACTGAGATGTCCACTTGTATATATATTAGAACTGGCATGATAGCACTCACATGTTCACAAAGTGGAGAAGAATGAAAGCTGAGCCTGTGAGGGGCATGCTACTGAGCGTGCACACAGTAGTGGCATGTTCACAACACATTTTTTAGGAAGGAACTCCCCATCATTTGCCAAAATAACAAAGTGAGGGAATGGGGCTGTCAGTCAAATAGGTTAAATAAGAAAGAAAAACCTGCTCTATGATTCATCATAACATTCAATTAATTTCACGACTTTTGACTTGTATTTTGTCTTACACTCTTGATGTATGTCCCTTTCCCACCATTATTCAGTTTTTTTGCATACCTCTAAATGTCCTGCTTCATAACCCATGTTGGGAATCCCTCTTCTAAATCCTTAAATTACACCAAATTGGTCTGCAGCATGAGACAAGAAAGAATGTTTTATCATCGAATTGTTCTGATATATATACTTTTTTTCTGGATGAAGGTCCATATCAATTTTACTGTCATCTCCAGAGAACTACATTTCAGATGGAATTTTATATCCTAAGACAACATGGCTTGGAAGTGAGCTGCTATCTAAATTAGCTAAATGGTCCACAGAGATTATGAAGCGCGAATTCAAGAGTACACTTTCTTTAATTTCTGTGGCAAGATACAGCAAAATTTATCAAGATCTAAAGGAGAAATACAAAAGGATTGTAAAGGTAAATATCAAAGCAGTCAGACTTTCTTTCTAATACAGTGGTGCCCCGCAAGACGATGTTAATTTCTTCCGTGAAAATCGCTGTTTTGCAAAAGCATCGTCTTGCGAAATGCGGTTCCCCATTGGAATGCATTGAAATCCATTTAATGTGTTCCAATGGGGACAAATCGTCGTCATTTTGCGAAAATCGCCCATAGAGAAACCGTTTTGCAAAGCGCCGATCAGCTGTTGAAATTGCTGTCTTGCGAAAAACGGTCCTGAAAACACCTGTTTTGCGAGTTGCGGACTCAGCTGTCAAAATCATTGTCTTGCGAAAATCGGTACCAAAAAAAAACCCATCTTGCAAAGCACGGTCCGAAACATCGTATAGCAAAAATCGCCCATAGGAAACACTGTTTTGCGAAGCGCTATAGCGATCTCAAAAACTCATCGTCATGTGGATTCATCGATTTGTGAGGTAATCGTCTAGTGGGGCACCACTATATCTGTTTTGTTTTTAATTTAAGAGGAATGTGCGTCATGGAAACTACTTCCCTTTACCACCCCTAAAGTTAATTTAACTGGAACTTACTGTTTTTAATAGACCTCTGCTGCTGACCACATATACAAAATACTGGCCCAGCTCTGTTCTTATCAATGTAAAAGATGGATGCTTTGTAATTGCTGTATGTGTCTGATATAGCTAGTTTGTATAGCTGTCATAAGATTTATATGATCCGAGTAGACACCAGAATATTGTTTCTTGGCCTTTTGGCTAAGATTAAATGTAGTAATGTAACTTTCATACAGGTATAGAGTACATTGTGTAGTAGAGTAGTTGGTCATGAAGCACAGTAGAGAGTATGTGGCTCTGCATTTCTTAAGTGAAGCTGTCAGATCTATTGTCAAACTGATTGGAAACAGTGGCCAGTCAGATTTGTAAGGAAGTAGACAATTCCCAAGAAAGATGAACACAACAACATTTGACTGCAAAAGAAGAAAGTTCTCGGCAACAGAAAAGTAAAAAGAAGTTGAAAAGGAAGGTGAAGAGGGCAGATCACTCCAGGATACTGAGGATTACAAAACCATAAGAACAGAATATTTACTGTGGGATCAGGTGGTACCAGAGGGTCTGAGAGGGTTATCAGGATAGGTGACAAGCAGTTTAAAGGAAAACACTACAGAAAAGAAATCTTCCTTTGGAAAATGGAGTTCTTGGTCAAGCAAAAAGGAAATCAAGCTTGAAAAATAGAAATATAACCAGGTGCTGCTGGACATAAAAGGGAGTTCTTGAAGGGCATATGTCTAGAAACAAGGATTTTTAGTATTGTGGTAGACAGCTCAGTATAAATGTCAATTTAGTGTGTAGCAGTTGAGAAAATTGGCAGAAACTGCAGATGCAAACTGTCCTTAAAGGAAAGGTTAGGAATAATGCTCTCATACAAAATCCGCAAACCCCTGATTCTCAGTCATTTTTCTTCTCTTTACACTGTTATGTGATGGGCCAGTCTGAGTTCCATTAATAAAGAGATGGTAGACAACTCTGTAAGATTTGTGTGTTTGTTTTTGTAGAAACAAATCATGTATCTGTTTTCATGTGCATGTTTATTTTTTACACATTGATGTGTGTACTGGTTATTTAGAACAGTATGTGGTGGTGAGGCTTTGCAGTTAGCTGTCTGGTCACTTTGTTTCTTTGTTTGCAGGTCTGGCCTGAAGTAACAAATCCTGAGAAGTTTGTATATGAAGATGTTGCTATAGCTGCATATTTGCTGGTATGTAGTGTTTAACAACCTGGTTGTCAAAATATATGCATGAGTTAATGTATCTTAAAAAATTTAAAAAATGCTTGTAAATGACTACATTGTTGAGGTCTTTGAGGGAGGCCTTAACTTACTTGTGACTCATGGGTGACAGAGGAGGAAGAAAAAAAGTACTTTGAGCCTGCTGATAAGTAATTCTGTGCAGCTCATTCTGGGGAATGGACAGTAGTGGTTGCTAGTACAGTGGTGCCTCGCAAGACGATTATAATTTGTTCCGCGAAAATAAAAAAAAAGTCTTGCGAAGCACGGTCATAGAAAAAATGTCATGCGAGGCACCATAGTGATCGCAAAAACCAGTCATCTTCCATGTTTTTCATCCCACGAGGCAATCATCTAGTGAGGCACCACTGTATAGAAAGCTGATCTGGATCTGAAGTAGAATTGATAGCATCTTCTGAGCCCCTTGTTGCAAAGTCTTCTGTGAGAGTGAGTCCCACTACGTCTCTCCTGGACCTCTTACCCTTCAGTCTAGACCTGATCTAGGCTACTACGCTTTTGGGGAGTGGCTAGATGGGACCATTACTCTTCCTTGTCTTTTGGGGCTGGTAGTCATATAGTGTGCTGGAGCTGGAGCCCTGGGATTCTTTACTCTTAATCCTAGAGCTTTAACATCTCTCCTTCCCTTCCTATTTCTGGACAAGCTTTTAAAAAAGCAAGTGAAATACCCGAGCCTAAGCAGCACTGGGATACCCAATGTGGTATAGGGGATAGAGTAACAAACTAAGACTCAGGAAACCTGGGTTCAAATCCCTGCTCTGCCATGGAAACTCACTGGGGAAGTGGAACTGGTGAAACCACTCCTTCAATATCTCATTTACCTTGAAAAACCCTATCAGAGTCACTATACGTCAGTTCTGACTTCATGGCACATAACATAAGCAGCTTTTTCTAGTGTATTGTACCAGTGCCCCTAGATGTGATTAGGCAACCCAGTACTATGCAGCTAACTGTGAGGCATCATGGGAGTTGTAGTCCAACAACTATAGAGCTACAAGTAGCCTTCCACTTTACATTTTATGAAATACTATGGATTTTATGAAATTCTTCTTTGCTTCCTTCACCTCTACCTTGCATGAAACAGGAAAGTTCAATCACAAAGACCTTCAAGGTCATGCTTTGGGTGCTATCTTGAGATCATGTGGCTTCTTCCATTAGAATGGACATGTAAAGCAGGAAAGCCTTTGTCCGTAGACTTCTGTACGTAGAGTCTTTCTCAGGTCTTGGGACCCCACCTGTGCAGAATTCCAGGATCCAGGCAGGCCCCAGGAGCAGGAAGTTCCCCTGCCTCTGGATGTCCATATCAATGCATTAGTAAGGCCATGAGGTGCTGCTCAGGGATGAAAAGGGATTCTGCCAAAGAAGAATGCAACCATAAATCTCAGTTGTAAATTCTATAGTATAATTTCTGATATCTGTAAATAGATACTAATATTTCTTGTAGGTTTTAAAACTTGTGTTTTGCCTGTTCTTAGATACTTTGGGAAGATGAGAGAGCTGAGAGAGGACTGTCCGAGAAACAATCTTTCATGGATCTTGGCTGTGGAAATGGCCTCCTAGTTCACATATTGAGCAATGAAGGGGTAAATAACTTGAACAGAGAAACTGTGCCAGGTTTCCATTGTTTCCTGCTCTGCTAAATGCAGTAGAATACACATCAATAAAAGATTAAGTGCCATTTTATTGATAGCATGTGGATGTGATTATTTTTAAAAGTATATGTTTTTTGTAATAGTGCAATATTCTGTATTGATATGCTTCTTTGGAAGCCACATGGCATAAATCAATTTACAAGTATCACTGCTTAATCCCTAATAATTTATGGTATCCCTGGAAAAAATATTTTTAAAACAGGCATGAATCTTATCACCACTTCTCAGTTTCAAAATCATGCACTGTGTGTTCACAGGGACTTCAGAAGGCACAGTGTTTCCATTGTTACTTTGAGGAAGAAGAATGTGTTTGCTAATATGAACATTTAACTAATAATTCATATATTACATTTCCAGCATTCAGGTAAAGGAATTGATGTAAGAAGAAGGAAAATATGGGACATGTATGGTCCACAAACATACTTAGAGGTATTGTGAAATTGTATGTTAAAATGTGTTTTCTTTACCATCAGTTTCTTCTTGAGATCTTCTTTAAAACACCCATTAGCCGCCTAGAGTGGTCCTCACCGACCAGATAGGCGGGGTATAAATTAAATAAATAAATAAATCATGAGATGTAGAATTTTAACCAAATGCAGTATGTTATGTTTATATCTACATCTTTGTACACAATTAGTTGTTGTTGCTTATCCTTCCTGAAAATTTATGACTCATATATGATGAGCTATGGGCCAGAATTCCTTTAGGAATTTACCTTGGTATAGGTGTAGTTGCATAAATTGCAGTGGCAAATTGCTGCTAATTTATGTGTTGCTTCTCATATTCCATGCTGTGTGCCAGTCATGCAGCTTGGCACACTACCAACAATGCAAATGGCAACTCGTTAATTAGCTGTTATTTGCCATTGCAGTTACACTCATGCCAGCATAAATCCTCTATATGTTTCTGATACGGTGTTGGATTCACTGCTGGGGTTGGATCCAAATTTGGTTTTCCTTAAACAGAAGAATTTAGACTATTGGGAGGAGGCAACTTCTGAGGTTGCTTAGCCTGATCACTGTGCTGTCTATGTGGGGCCTATGTGTGGAATTTTAAGCTTAAAGGGATCACCAACTGCTGTGTACTTTGTATGTGATCTCCCAAAGGGCCACTCATAATGTGAATGCTATAGCTAGTACTTTATATGCAGCATGATAAACCTCAGTATTGGTGTTCATTTTTAGTACAAAATGTTCCCCAAAAGCATGCCATGCCATTTCAGAGTGAAACTAACTGCAACATGAATTCTGATAGGTTACAACAGTAAATCATTTTTAGCCTTTTGAGGCATCCTGTGTAAACATTTCTGTTGTTTCCTTTTAGGAAAATGTAGTTAGTCCAAACAATCTGTATCCAGATGTTGACTGGTTAATTGGAAATCATTCTGATGAACTCACACCATGGATACCTGTAATTGCAGCCAGGTAACAAATTGCAATACTTCTGGCAAGAGGGGTGGAATTAGTTTGAAAATGGAGAGCTATCCTGGAGCTGTTTGTCTATGAATTGTCCTTCTAATATTGAACAAATAGCACTTAAAACAAAAGAACTAAGGATAATGTAAAAACCGATTGCACAAAAGTCTGGTGGTCAAAATCCGATTAGGAATTTACCCCAGCATAATGCAAACATAATAACTATTAGAGGCAAATCACTTCTAGTTAAGAAATAACCATAGACATTATCTGTTGTATGTTAAACCCTGTGACTGAGTACACAACAAATAATGTCTACAGTAGTTTCTAATTTGAGGTGATTTATCTCTAAAAGTTATGGCATATGTTCAAGGACATAACCAACAGGCTTCTGGCATATATACTTAAATGATACAGTGGGAAGCATACATCTGTGTTCATAAGCCTGGGTTGCCAAAAATAAATAAATAAATAAATAAATGTCTAGTAGAATGACAATAAATGCTTCAGTAAAACCAATAATTTCCAGAGGTTATCTCTTATGGGAATAAGCAAATGCTTGTGAAACCAAGAAAAGTTTGGTTAATTAGAGCATAACCTAGAAAAAAAGAGTGGTGCTGTTTCTCAATTTGGACCTTGATTGGCTGGAATGCCCAAAGTGATTTTTTAAACTTGCTCTTGACCAAACATAAGCAGACATAAGGAGCAAACATATATTGTGGCGAGGAAAAACAGCTTGAGAAAGGAAAAATGGAGGAGGAAAATTAAAAGAGAATTGGTGTAAATCTGCCAGGTGGCCATCAGAGGACAGTAGCATTTTCCAGTGAAGTGCATCAGTTTAAGCACTAGTTTTCTTTCTGTGTTAGGTCTTGGTCACACAAGGGAAATCTTCTCTATTTCTTCAGATACTTTCCATTCCTCTATTGCAGTGGGTCCCAACCTTTTTGACAGCAGGTACCGGTTTAGTTAAAGACCATTCTCCCAAGGACCGGGGATGGGTGGGTGGCGGGTGTCCGTGAGTGTGGTGGTGGGCGGGTGTGCGTGCAAGAAAGTGGGCGAGAGTGTGTGTGCTCCTTTAACCCTTGAAAATCTGTCTCGGCGGCCCAGTTTTTCCAAGTCTGTGGCCTGGGGGCTGGGGACCCCTGCTCTGTTGTACTGAATCTTGGTCACGTGGTTTATATCCCAGGACAAATGTCCCAAGAACTTTTAGCGGTACTGACATATTTCTTCTTATTTGGATTGTTATGGCAAGCTACACCTGCTATCAGTTTGTTTTTTCTCTTGCTTCAAGGGGTAATTTATCCCCTTGATTTATAGATATAGTATATTTTTAAAAAATAATATTGTGAGTGTGTTCAAGTGTGGGTGAGCTCCATCCTCCATTTTGTTCTCCAGAAATGGCAAAGGCTCTTTTTACTGAATAACTTTTTTATTGTCTAACATTGGGGAACTGTGAACAATAACTTCTGTAGGACCAACAGGCCCTTCCATTTAACACAGCTATCTTTCAATTCTGGAGTAACAGAAGAATTCAGTATTGGGGGTTCACTCCAAACTGCTCTCGATCTGTTGGTTTTCTCATTGGGTTCCATATGTATAGGCATACAGTATGGTGCCGCAACAGGGATGCCAAGCCCACTCTCCTTCTGTAGGTGTCGTGGGTGGTGGATTGGTTGGATTCGGGTTCCATATGTATAGGCATATGGTGCCGCAACAGGGATGCCAAGCCCACTCTCCTTCTGTAGGTGTCGTGGGTGGATTGGTTGGATTTGATTGGGCTCCCCTCTTCCAGCGATCTCCTCCCTTTGGGGGGTTCTGCTTCTCCCAACTGAATTGCAAATCCTTCTGTCCCCTTTCTCTTATTTTCCCCTTTGCCTTTCTCTCTCTTTCCCTCAGGCAGGCTGACCCTCTGATACTGCTGTCTTCTCTTTATTTCTTCTATCAGCAACTTCATCTTAAGTCTCTCCCAACTCCAAGGATCTTCCATCCCCATCCTAAAGGAATAACCTCCTCTTTCTCTTCCCTCTTATCCTTTTCCTCCCTTTCCACCACTGTCTGCTAAGCCACCTCACCTCCTCCTTCCCCCTAACTCTCTACCACAGATCCTCCCTGTTTTCATACCCCCTCCTCTTTCCCGCTCTTGCCCCCCTGCTCCTAATTGGGCTATGGCTGGCAACAGTGTGTACACTGTCTCGTATCCCTCTGCGATTGGTGCTTGAGGGGACGGCTTGTCCTCCTCCTTCCTGGCTGGGACTTGTTCCTTTTCCCAAATATTAATACATTGATATATTGGAAGCAAGGTTTCCTCTGAGATGCATGACTGTGTGCAGCTCTGTCCCCTCCGTGCAGCTTTCCTCCTCCTGTGTGCACCCATAGCAATTGTTTCTGGCCCCTTCCATTCTGGTCAAATGAAACCCTGTGGGAGGATGGGCTTGCATACAAGGGGATTGGTGCACCACCCAGTGGGGCTGAAAATTAGAGGGAACATTGATCAGGAAGGGGTTTCTATTTGGGAAAGTGTCCCTCATTGGCACTGGCTGCTCCTGCAGAAATACATTGCACACAATGGACATGGGATATCCACATAGCAGTACTACAAATCCCCCTCCCCCCTGGTAACTTTGGCATACCAACGGTTCAATGTATCTTCCCATAGATATATAAAAAATTATTACCCGCCAGTAATGTGATGGCAGCAGTAATGTATTGATGTATTGGGCACGACAAATAAAAAAATATTAATATGCACACATCAATAATGGCGGCCACCTTCCTAGCTTCAATGCTAAAAAGAAGCAGAGCAAGTCATGCACAAAGGGAATCCTGGTAAGGATTGCACCAGTACATCAAAGGTATAAAATAACACAACTTGACGGGGAAAAAGAGATTTCTCCGTGTGTGAGTACCAGTGCCATTCCCCCATGAGCTTGCATAGTTGAGTGAGGATTCAGATCCAGGTCTCTTTGAGTTCTAGTCCATCATTCCATGACTTTTTGCTTATTTTATACATTAACATTAAAGACTGAATGGGGAGATAATTTGGAATAAATCAGATCTTGAGAAATCCTCATTTTCCATATTGCATAGATGAAATCAAAAGTGTGCAACCATTTATAGACTTGCAGAAATGTATAGTGCCCATTTCAGTTCATACACCATCCTATATGTCTTGATCTATTGTCTTATTGCAGATCTTCCTATTCTTGTCGGTATTTTCTATTGCCCTGCTGCTTCTTTGATTTCCATGGAAAATATAACCGAAGGCAAAGTAAGAAAACCCAGTACAGAGAGTACATTGATTTTGTAACAGAAGTGGGACTTGTCTGTGGCTTTAAAGTGGAAGAAGATTGCCTGAGAATTCCTTCAACTAAAAGAGTAAATTTCATTTACCTTGTTCTTAAAACATCCCAAAATCTCATTATCTTCCTTGTAAGACAGAGCTGCAGTCAATATTGTTTTCGAAAGCCAGGGTTGTGCCAGGGAATGCCACACTTCACATTCAAATCATTCAGATCAAATCAAATGTTTTCTCAGTAAAAATATTACTGATTGATATGTTTATCTGGAAATACTATGTTTCCCTTAAAATAAGACAGAGTCTTATATTAATTTTTGCTCCAAAAATGCATTAGGGCTTATTTTCAGGGGATGTTTTATTTTACTGTCATGTCATCTTCTGGTTGCTGCACAATGCTGCACAATGGTGGAAGGCGGGGTTTCACTTAACTAGGGCTTATTTTTGGGGTAGGGCTTATATGACGAGCATCCTGAAAAATCATACTAGGGCTTATTTTCAGGGAAGCAGGGTACAGAAATACAGGTGAGAATGCAAAGTTGTTCCAAATACAATAGGTCATGTAGTTTTAAACTGGCCACACATTAACTTGTGATCTAGGTCACAGAGCACACCCATCTATCCATGCTGTAGATCTGGCAGTTTACAATTGAGTAAAGATTGCCACTAGATTCAGGACAGAACAGACATCTGGTTGCTGCAAGCTCTGTAACTGCAATCACATGAAACTAAGACATCCTGCTGGAGAGGTAGAGTCTGTCTACATTCAGAGCAATTCATGTTGTGTTTCATTATTAGCATCTGAATAATAATCTTTTTGCTCATAGGTATGCTTAATTGGGAAATCTAGAACATATCCAGCAATACAAGATGCTGCACTTGATGACCAGCGAGCACACTATATCAACAGTCGCCAATCCTTCAACAAAACAGCATCAGATAAAAAGGACAGATTGTACCAAGTTGATAGCTTCTTGACAGCAGGTCACACCACAGCTCTTATAGGAGATGAAGAAGTGCTTCAAAATACCAATGTAGAAAATGTCTTAATGTCTGGTTTTCTGCCCAGGGGGAAAGAACAAATGAGAAACTGTACTGCTCTCCCTAAGGATTTTGTAGACAAAGTGGTTTTGAAGGTAGTACAGCTGTTGTTAAGTGAAAGCAAAGAAAGTCCACCTGGAAATACAACCACATGGAACAGAGGAGGTGAGATTTTTTACCCAGGATATATATATAAAAATGGGAATTTACAGGGATTCAAAATATTGCTTTAGCCATTATAATTCTTGAAGTCATCAGATCTCATCTGCTGCATGAGGTAAGAAAGCATTTAAAATTCATCTCCAAGCAGTGCCTTAAATTGCAGTTACAGTGGTGCCCCGCATAACGAGCGATTCATTTAACGACGAATCCGCATAGTGATGTGTTTTTGCGATCGCAAAAGCGATCGCATTGCGATGTTTTAAACAGTAAAATATCGCTTTGCGATGATCAGTAAGTGTTTCGCTTACCGATTTTCGCATAGCGAAGTTTTTAAAACAGCTGATCGGCGGTTCCAAAATGGCCGCTGGATAAACAAAATAGCCACCCGCTGTGTTTCATGCCCTTTCCTTGCTTACCGGGAAGCAAAAATGGCGGCCGGATGGAGGATTTTCACATAATGGTGAGTTTTAAGCCCATAGGAACGCATTAAACAGATTTTAATGCATTCCTATGGGCTTTTTGGTTCCGTATAGCGACGATTCCACATAGCGACAATTTTTCCGGAACGGATTATCGTCACTATGCGGGGCACCACTGTACATCCATAGTATCCTAATAACTCATATATAATGGAGTTGGTAAGAAACAACATTTATTGAATGGTCAAATCATAGTGAACACTTGCTGACCGTAAAAGTGAATGATCTCAAAAATGTCCTGTCCTCAACAGCCCTGCTCAGCTCTTGTAAACTCAACAATGTTATTTCCTTCGTAGAGTCGATCCATCTAATATTTGGTCTTCCTCTTTTTCTGCTGCCTTCCACCTTTCCCAGCATTATTGTCTTTTCTGGAGAAACATGTCTTCTTATGGTGTGTCCAAAGTATGATAGTCTCAGTTTTGTCATTTTTGCCTCTAGAAATAGTTCAAGCTTGATTTGCAATAGGACTCAGAATAGTTTACCCAGGGATTCCCAGTGTGGTGGTGGTGGTAGAATGATGGACAAGGACTCTGGTGAACAGGGTTCAAATACCTGCTCAGCCATGGGAAGTCACTGGGGGAATAGAATTGGTGAAGCAACTTCTTAAATATCTCAGTTATGTTGAAGCCCTATTGGAGTCATTATAAGTTGGTTCCGACTTGACGGCACAGAACACACAAGTTTATCCAAAGAATTGAGAATGTGCTTGTTCAGTGAATGTGAATCTGTCTGTCTGCAAACAAGAAAGAATAACTGGCAAACCAGGTTAGCATTTTGGTAAAGAAGGAATGGATTCTCTGTACATCATTCTGGCAAAGGTGCATTCTAGGAGGAGGGAAATTCTGGATAATATATACACATAGTCCTGGCCATTATGTCTCTAGTCCTGGATTGTTAATTGTAAATGTATGTAAATAGGCCATAGATTTCAGCAGTGAGAAAATACATTATCCATGTGTTTATAGGCACTTACCCATTATGTATGCTAGTGTGTAGTTGTATTATCCAAAGCTTCAGGATTTGTCCCTGGTGGGCCCTCACACAAATAGGACTCTGATTAGGGTTCCAAACAACGGTTAAAAAGCAAAGTCGATAAAGGCAGCATTGTGTCACATCCCTTTCTAACAGAAATGGCTTAGACAGCATGCCTTGCTGAGCACACATGGTGGTGGTAGGGCATATAGAGTGTAATCATCCACTCCATAAATACAGATAGAACCGAAGAAGAGACATTTCCAGTATGCTTCAAGAATGGCTTTTCCACATCTAAAGAAAATACTATGCAAGACATTTCTTTTTTGTGCTACACTAAATCAGGTTTCCTTAGAGCCATATATTTCCAGTGCCTTATTTGGTGTTGAATAAAGCTGACCTTGTTTGGGATCCATATTATCATAGAATCATGAAGTTGGAGGGGGCCTATAAGGCCTTTGTCCAACTCCCTGTTCAAAGCAGAAATATAAATCAAAGGATATCTGCCAGGTGGTTATCTAAATTTAAAACCCAATTAAAAACATGGCTGTTTATTCAGGCCTTCCCTCCAGCCAACTCTTGATTTTTTCTTACTTTTCCTTTTTATTTTTACTGCTGTTCTTGTTTGATTATTATGTATTTGTCTATGTTTTATTATTTGATTTTATATTTGGAAGCCGCCTGGAGTGGTCCGGTGGGCCAGATAGGCGGGATATAAATTAAATATATAAATAAATAAATTTATTTTGAATGCCTTCAGTGTTGGAGCACTCACCACCTCTTGAGGTAATTGATTCCATTGCCATACTGCTCTAACAGTTAGGATGTTTTTCCTGATATTCAATCGAAATCTGGCTTCCAGTAACTTGAGCCCATAGCTGTGTGTCCTGCACTCTGGGATGATCAAGAACAGATCCTCCCCCTCCTCTGTATGACAGCCTTTCAAATATTTGAAAAGTGCTATTATATCTCCTCTCAGCCTTCTTTTCTCAAGGTTAAACATGCCTGGTTCTTTCAGTCTTTCCTCATAGGGCCTCCTCTGAACTTGTTCCAATTTGCTGGCATGCTTCTTGGAGTGCAGTGTCCAGAACTGGACGCAGGACTCAAGATGAAGCCTAACCAGTACTGAACAGAGGGGAGCTAGTACCTCATGGGATTTGGAGACTATACTTCTGTGAATGCATCCCAAAATAGCACGTTATTCTTCAAATTTGTTTTAATCAAATTTTTCTGCAAGATGGAATCTTTTTGCCTACAAAAATTGATACATTTTGGTGACTATGTCACTAATGGGAAAAGTGACATCACATGGCTGGGCAAATGCTGCACCTTCTCTCTTTTTCATGGACATTACCTTTGCTCACATACAGTAAAAGGAGGAAATTGAGAGATAAGTTTGTAAGAGAATTTTTTTGTAGAAGAATTCATCTGGATACATGCTAGGCCTGTGTAATCTTAGTGGACCTGATTTCGCTGCATTTTTGCCAGCACTAGAGTATAGTCTCTTTCCAGACTGCCAAGTAGTTTTCCACAATAGCAAAATGCTATTGGTACATTGTACAAATGGGTACATTGTAATACCTTTTAGGGTTAGCACACAAAGTGAGAACACTGAACATATCAGTTTTATCACGGAACTGTCCTTACTGCACACAGATTTTAAAATTTGTTTTAAAAAGTTGATCAGCCTTGATATCTATTATGATTAATGCCTAAAACATTCTGAAAAAATTAAAATTGTTATCCCTGACATTTGAAAAAGACATATTTTTCAGGAAATAGATTCCTTCAAGCTGCAGCATCAGATATCATTGTTAATAACTATTTCTTATTTTCTCTTCAACTGTAACTTGATTCACAGATGGATAATATATAGTAAGACAAAACTTTTGTCAGAAGAGTAGAAGAGGAGCAGACATATTTATTAAGTGTGAAATATACCAGTTTTACATATCTCTTCTAGGTATCTTACAAACCATTGTTTTGACATGGCTTCTTGTGGTGAGTGAAAAATAGTCATGTAGGGTATGTGTATATGTGTGTATGTTTAGACAAATGGGTTATATGTAGTACAACAACAGAAAGGTTGTTCTACAGGACATTTAGAACAGCAGTTGAGAGTTCTTAAAAACCCCAAGCTAGAAGTATTGCTAAGGGCTAAAGTTAATTCACAGAAATATATTATTTTTGTAGAGAGTCTTACATTGGGAGAAATTGCAGAACATTTAGACAAGAAGACTTTAAAAACTCTGAAAAATGAATATGGAGGCCTGCAGACCTTGCTGAGAAACAACCATCAAGTGTTTGAAGGTAAATACAAGTGATACTTATTGGTTGTACGTTTTCTCTGTGTTAGTTTCAAAATCTGAGAGTTTAATGGTTCTGGAATTCTATCCAGTAGTATCCCTCTGCTCACAGGAAGTTCTTTGGTCCTGTGAAGGCTTCTGTGAGTGGCACTTGAGAGAGAGACAGTTTTCACACATTCCCCCATTCGTCTGCAGCCCCTTGCCCCATTTTCGATCCTGTCTCAAAGAGTTGATCCTGTCGATCCTGTCTCAAAGCAAATAGTAGAAGGATGTTGAAGAATCCATATAAATGGTCTTCTCCCTTCCTCTATTTGTGGACGCCTCTGCTGGATTAAAGTGCTTTCTGTGATTATAATAGTTACTGTTTCTCTTTTGCAATAAGCAAACATGGATTGAAACTGCAGCTTTACCAAAGCTCAGTATAGCATATCAGAGCCAGTTGTAAATATCCTGTTTTACTAGATATTGGATTGTTAGAAACACTGCTGAACTGAAATCACTCTTTCACAAGCCCATGGAATAGGATTGCTTATTCAGTGCATGCACGAAAGAAATAGATAAAGTGTTGTGAAAATTTGGCTTTTTAATTCCAGTGTATCCTACTTAGCTTTGAGGTGGGGAACCAGGAGACTCCCACCCCACTCCGTTCTTCCTAGGTTATCTTCTGGGGACAAATCATATCATGAGACAGGCATCTTCCTCGAAGCCCTGCTCCATGCCATCATTCACATCTATTTTTGATACATCAGTTGGAGGATCCCTCTGTTGAGGAAACGGTTTCACTATACTTAGGCTTTCCCTGGCCAAGTAGAAGTAGAAATGTAAAAGTTCTTGAAATTCTGAAGCCATGAGGGAAAAGGTTTCCTCCATTTTATTTATTTTTTGTTTTTCTTGAAAAATAAAAACAAAACAAGTACAGACATTTAGGGGAAATAGCAACACTTATTTTCATATCAGAGTGCAAGTTATTTCACTCATAACTTTAGGTAGCGTTTAAAATTGAACTATTGCATATTTATGGAATTTTAAAATATAAAAACTTTAACAGCTTCTAAGTAAAATTATTTTTAATAAAGATAAAACTATGATCTACTGTACCTTTTGCTGCTTACTGTAAGTGTGCTTAATTTCAGCTATATGAAATGCAGGGGGAAAAGGCATGCAGAACCCACAAATATTTTTTTAAAAAGAAAGAAATGTACTATTTGGATGGAGGCAGTCTTGCTTCTACTGTGATTATTGCCATGTAACTAGAACAGAGGCCACCAGAAGAAAGAAAGCACTGATCTAGAAGTCTCTCTTGAGCTTCACATCTCCAGGCAGAGGGGACTAAGATGCCAGCTGGAGTTTTCATTGGTTAAAAATCCATTCCTGTCCTAAACAGCCCTGAGTTCTGAGGGATTCTTTTGTGTGCAGGACTGAGTGTTCACTTTTGAGAGCACAGGAGTTTTTCATCATTGATGCCTAAGAGCAAAATATTTTTCTAAATTGATGAATTGGTACAGTGGACCCTCTACTTAAGGAATTATTGGAATGGTGGCTGCAAGTCGAAAAGTCTGTAAGTCGAATCTCCATTAACCTACAATGCACTGAAAACCGATTAATCCCATAACCAGTGGTTTTTATTCTATTTTTATTCCATTTTGGTTTTTTTCTGGTCTGTAAGTCGATTCACTGGCTGCAAGTCGAATCTAAATTTTGCAGCCAGAGAAGTCTGTAACTCGAAAAGTCTGTAAGTCGAGCCATCTGTAAGTCGAGGGTCCACTGTATGTGGGTTGATACCAAAAAATCATATAAAATGCATATGTATTTTTACCTTAAGGGCATCTCAAATTAGGTTGCAAACATTCCAAATATATTTTGGAATAATATCCCCCACCCTGAGAGAAAAGATCTTCAGTTTAGAATTATGGAAGTCTTGTTAGCAGCACTACACTTTCCAAGTAATGATGAAGGGGTATTCTGTTTAAAATAAGACTTGTTGGTTCAGAAGACAGCTATTCATCCTGGGAAACAGTTGCTTCTAGCCGAGTTCTGCTGTTCTTGCTCTTTCTTCAGACCCATATACACTAGTTTCACATTTTTGCAAAGTTCTTTTCATGATACTGTACCTGGGCTGGATGGTGGACAGTCCTTTTTTACTTTCCTCAGCTTTTTTAAATCAATACATCAGGAAGCTGTTTACTATAATTAGAATTGGACAGAGAAAATGAAACAAAGAGAACCAAAGCTACGTTTATTTACAGTAGGACCCCCACTTCCACTGGGGATTGGTTCCATTTGTGTGTAGACAGATAGACAGCATGGTGAAAGGGGGGGCGAATCAAATGCCTTACCAGAACAAGACACTAGAATGCGCCAGAGACCATGTTATGCATTCTTCACTAACATGTATTCATAGCCCAGTCTTTGCCTCCCTCTAGTGGTCCGTTCTGGCAATACAGGTGAAAATAGTTTTTCCTAGATTTTTTTCTTTTAATACAGTGGTGCCTCAACTTACGAAATTAATCCGTATTGGAACGGTGGCCGTAACTCAAACATTTCGTAACTCGAAGCACCATTTCCCATAGGAATGCATTGAAAACCATTCAGTCCGTTCCAGCCAAAGAAAAAATCACAAAAAAAACACAAAAAAAAAAAAAAAAACACTGCAAGCCCCTGGGGCTGCTAAAAACAAAACAAATCCAAAAATTTGCTGTGGAGGCGTCCCAGGCTTCCAAAGCACCAACACCTGGTGTGGCAGTCGAGGCAGCTTTGGAAGCCCGGGAAGCCGGCACCCGGCACGGAGGTCGGGGCGGCTTTCGGCTTCCAAAGCCGCCCCCACCGCCCCCTGCCTCCCGTCCCCGCTCCCTCTGCTGCTACAGGAGACAGTGGGGATGGGAGGCAGAGGGCAGCAGGCATGGCTTTGGAAGCCCGGGAAGCCGGAAGCCACCCTGACCACCGCACCAGGTGCCAGCTTCCCAGGCTCCCAAAGCACCGGCACCCGGCATGGTGGTTGGGGCGGTGTTGGAAGCCCGGGAGGTTGAGCCTCCCTTTTCCTAACCATTGGGGCGAAGAAGCAGCTTCTTCACCATCAACGGTTTGAATTTCACGCCCTTTCCCCCTGCCTTTTTCTTTTCGTAAGTCGAAGCTCCGGCCACTAAAATTTTGCGGCCGGAGCTTTTCGTAACTCGAAATGTTCATAAGTAGGGATGTTCATAAGTTGAGGCCCCACTGTAATTTTAATATTTTCAGACCATATATCAGTTAAACTGCATATACTGATCCCACAGATACAGAGGATCTTATTGTACTTACTCTTGGTACTATTCTCAGAGTCTTGGACCCCTCCAATTTGCAATTCCCTCTTTTGGTCGCCATCAGACAAATACAATTAGTATGATTATCATTAAAATAGGAATAGGTAAGCTGATGCCTTCCAGATATTTGGGCAAAGTGCAACACACATATGCTATTCAGTATCCAGTGCTTGACTTATGTCAGTACCAGCAGTTTTGGTTCCAACGACCATTTTCTTCCTACCCATTCCACTGAACCACACTCCTTGGTAATCCAGGCAGCCATTGTTCATACCACTGAGACCAAGCCTTGAAGCAGTTTCCTCTTCATGAATGCTCTATTGCAGCTTGGGATTGATGTTCTAAATTGCTCCTGTAGTCTACCTGTAATTCTGCCAGTTGAGATCATCCTGTGAGTAACTTAACATGCAGCTTTTATCTTGGAAGATCTCATTCTTGTTTCCAATAACATCTACAAAATGACAAAAAAATTCTGTATACTTTTCAGTTTTCCACCATACTCAGAATGATGATTCTGAGACTGGTATCTCCTTGTTTCTAATAGTAGTGTCCCTCACTCTCTCTTGGCCAAGGTGGTAGTCTTCTTGTGTTTTTTTTAATAATATTTTTTTATTTTCCAACATAGAATTTACAAATATACAAAGACATTATATATAAATAAAACAAACTATTTTTAGAGCTTAACCTACAAGCAATCTTATTCCCTATTAAATTTCTTCCATTTTGATCTTCTCCATATTGTTCATTTTAGTTCTATTTATTACATAACTTTTGCTTTCCACCAATCGTAAAAATGCATTCCAGCTTAAGTAATAAATTAATTTTTCTTGTCCTTTTAATCTCTTTGTTAATTTGTCCATTTCTGCACATTCTAATATTTTTTAATGATCATGTCATCCTTTGGTGGGTCTCCCTCCCTCCTGTGCCCATACTAATCTAGCTGATGTCAGAACATGTGGTGGTAGCCTTCTTGTGTTTGTCCCTAACCCTAGAGCTCTCATTAGGAGGTTGGACATTAATATGTATTTCATATGCAGATTTGACAAACACAATGAGATGAGATTCTTGTAGTTTTCATACTGCATTCTTATTCTAATATTCATATATGTAACATTGTATTAATATTTAGGTGTCTCTTTTTAATCTCAGTTCTAAATGGAAAAGTTCATATTCGTGACTGGAGAGAATGGAAGCCACCCAAGAAAAATAAGCGGAATGAGCATGTTAAACAAAGATTTCCTTCTAGAGCGTTTAAAACTCGCTTGTGTTGGTTTTACATGCACCATCCTCAGGGCTGTCCTCTGACTTCAGAATTCTGTCATTATGCTCATGGGGCTGAGGAGCTGAAGCCTTCTCTGACTGTACCAAAGATGAATCATGTCAAACAATAAAGTGTTGCTACTTTGACTTACTCTACTTGGATGGATTTAATTTCATGAATAGAGCACATGTTGATTGTATGGTAATAAAATGTAATTTTTATTTCACTTCATGGAACAATGAGATACTGTGGTTTTATCATGTGTTTGAATAGGAGAGCAAAAAACCCTTGATGTGGCAATTCTCATTTTTTCAATGGTTGCTGTAATATCCAAGCACATTGTCCATGGTCGACTTATATATTTTCCTTTGTTTGCTCTAATGATGAGCTAGTGATTGCTGGTACATGTGGATCTAAACTCTGTTCCTTAAAATCTCCTTTCATATAAATGTTTCTCTGGATTATTCTAGTTTCTGTTTAAAACAAAAGCAGTAAAAAGTTGTAAAATCATTATCCTTCACACAGAGACTATAAAAGCACAGACTTGGTACACACAGTCATATCAAGACATCACAAATTGCACCTTTCACTTAGATTGTTGCATTTTTGGTGTAAATATATTTTTCCAAAATACTTGATGTACTTGTAGTCAGCTCTTAAAGCTTTCACATAATTCTGCATTGACATAATTAGCATTTTGCTTTGTGGCTTTTCAACTGTGTGCTAGGCTTTCTACCATGACTGCACAGTTATGTACAGAGGAAGACAGCAGTAGGAATGTTTGTCAGCATTCTTCAGACATAAACTCAAGCTTGATGTCTGACTATGTCCTAATATTGCATATATAGTTAGGTCCAAAAATAATTGTACACTGACACAAGTTTTATTATTTTGGTCATTTATCAAAATCGAACTTAAAAGTACATAATGAATATGGGCTTAAAGTGCAGTCTGTCAGCTTTAATTTGAGGATATTCACATCCACATTGGAGCTTTTTAATCTGTAGCCCGCTCTTTTTCAAGGAACCAAAAGAAATTGGACAATTGGCTCAAAAGTTGTTTCATGGACAGGTATGGATGATTCCTTTGTTATTTCGCATCAGTTAAGCAGGTAAAAGGTCCGGTATTAATTCCAGGTGTGTGGCATTTGCATTTGGAATGTGTTGTTGTGAACCCACATATGTTTAACGGAGCTCTCTATGCAAGTGAAACAGGCTGTCCTTAAACTGCAAAAGAAAAGAAAAAAGAAATCCATCAGAGAGGTAGCAGGAACTTTAGGAGCGGACAAATCAATAGTTTGGTACATTCTGAGGGAAAAAAAGAATGCACTGGTGAGCTCCTCAACACAAAAAGGCCTGGACGTCCACCAAAGACAACAGTAGAGGGTAATTGTAGGATCCTTTCCAAGATATAGAAAAATCCCTTCACAACTTCCAGCCAAGTAAAGAACATGCTCCAGAATGGAGACATATTATCAAAGTCTACCATAAACAGAAGACTTCACGAAAGCAAATACAAAGGATTCACAACAAGGTGCAAAACATTCATAAGCTTCAAGAATAGAAAGGCCATATTAGACTTTGCAAAAACAAAAAACAAAAAAAGTCTTTAAAAGCCAGCACGATTCTGGAACAGCATTCTTTGGACAGATGAAACTAAGATCAACCTGTACCAGAATGATGGGAAGAAGTAAGTACGGAGGAGGTTTGGAACAGCTCATGATCTAAAGCATACCACGTCATCTGCAGTGGAGGCAGTGTGATGGCATAGGCATGCATGGCTTTCAGTAGCACTGATGGGTCAGAAGACAGAAGCAGTCAGATGAACTCTGAAGTGTACAGGGATATATTGTCTGCTCAAATTCAGCCAAACTCAATAAAGTCTACTCAGATTCAGCCAAACTCAGAGCACAGACAAGAGTTCTGATTCCTGTCCTCTGAAGATGCCGGCCACAGAGACTGGCGAAATGTTAGGAAGAACAACCTTCAGAACACGGCCAAAGAGCCCAAAAAAACCACAACAACCATTAGATCCCCGACGTGAAAGCCTTCGAGAATACATTCAGTGAAGTTGTTTGGAAGGCACTGCACTTTACAGATGGACAATGACCTAAAACATAATGTGAAAGCAACCCAGGAGTCTTTTAAGGTAAAGAAATGGAATATTCTGCAATGGCTGAGACAATCGCCTGATCTCAACCCAGTCGAGCATGCATTTCACTTGCTGAAGACAAAACTAAAGGCAGAAAGACCCACTAACAAACAACAGTTGAAGAGAGCTGCAGTAAAGGCCTGGCAAAGCATCACAAAGGAGGAAACCCAGCATTTGATGATGTCTGTGTGTTCCAGACTTCAAACGGCCATTGCCTACAAAGGATTCTTGTTTTTGAGTCTCTCTGGCAATCCGTGGTGAAGGGAGAGATCTCTGAAAGGATCTGGGGTGGAGGGAGAGATCTCTGAAATGAAGGAGACTGCAGTCGAATTGTCAGGTTCAAAGAATACTCAGGGTAGTCAGCTGAAGTAAAGGAACACTGCCTCAGCGATGCCCGGCACCTCCTTTTATTGTACTGTAGGTTACATAACTAATGGCCTGAACCAATAGGGTGTTGGGTGTATTCTGCCCAGCAATAAACCACACAAGCGCATTAATGTGGTACATAAAGCAACATGAGTACATGATAACAAGCATATAAGTCATGGCGCATATACCCACATTCCCTCCGTTTTTAGTTTATAAGAAACTGGTAAAAAGAACATCAAACTACGTGTAAACATCTTCCAAGTATATATCAATATACAGTATTTGCCATCAATGGATGCCAGGTCCTAGGGATGAAGACCATCATAAGCGTCTACAAGGTTTTTTGTATCCGTCCGGGTCATTTTGACAATGATACAGTACATGTTAAAGCTTTTTAGGGATGAGCCCTGTACGAGGAGTGGAAGAGCTACGGCAGCACGAGGCAAAAGTATGCATAAGGGAAGGGATGCATTGAATACAAAAGCAGATTAAAATCAAACATGCAATAACAATAATTACATATTTTAATACATTGTAAAGCCAAGAGAGATTGGGCAGCCAAGACCATAGGCTATCCCAAAGGCCAATTGCTTCTGAGTCAAAAGGAGTCAAAGGGTCAGCCTTAAGAGAGTCTTCCATATGTGATATAGTAGCAGTAATATTTGGTGCATAATCAGAGATAAACATGCAACAATGAGTGAACAACAACACAAACCCCTCCTTCAGAGGCCAGCAACAAATCAACAGCGTAGCGTGTTTGTAGGACAAAGTCACGTATAGCGCTTTGTTCCTGTTTTAAGAAGGAGAGAGCCATGATCGTATCATTAAACATACTGATAGTCCAGTTGTTTAAGGCATGCAAGTCATAGTGATTCATCACAACACCCATAGGTGGAATAATTCCACGAGAGGTACCTGCCCACCAGGACCGAGAAAGAGGTGAAGACTGAGAAAAGGCATCCCTGGCATTGCGAATATGAGTAGGTAAAGAATCAGAGACAATGAGAGAAGGAGACAAAAGCCCAAATGTACAAGTACCTGATCATCTTGGAGGACGGCGATTATAAGCTTTTCTGCCACATAAAAGCCATAGATCATTACCAAGGATGTTATATGTGTTATTAGTAGAGGAAACACTCAGCAGGGCAAAGTTGGCAATCATACTACATAGATAATTAGAGCCACCAGTCGCAGCTGAGGTATGGCAATCACCTTGCAAATGGGGGCAGGTACCATTTAAAAGAGCAGCACACCAGTGTTGCGCATTAACGTGGTACATAAAGCAACACAACATGAGTACGTGATAACAAGCATATAAGTCATGGTGCATATACCCACACATTTTATTTATGATTGTGTTAATTTGTCGAGTTACATTTAAGCCCCTGAAATAAGGGAACTGTGTATAAAAATGGTGGCAATTCCTAAGCATTTCATGCAATATTTTTGTTCAAACCCTTGAGTTAGAGATTAAAGTCTGCACTTCTATTCTCAGCTGTTTCCTTTAAGATCTGTTGTGGTGGCGTACAGAGCCAGAATTATGAAAATTGTCAGTGCCCAATTATTTCCGGACCTAACTATAGGAAAAAGTCCAGTTGAATGAGATATAAAGTATGTGCTTATGGCAGAGAGTGACATGATACATCTACTTCACAGATAAAAGTGCTATGTTGTCAAAATGCAGCCAAGTCCAAAAGGACCAGTACACTGAAGTAAGGTGATGGTTTCCCTGCTTTGGAAAGTAGACTCTAGCACCTATTTTGGATGGTGCCACAGTCCTCATCAAGATCTCTTTTAGACTTTAGGAATATTCCATCTGCCTTACTACTGGCAGCTCAGTTGGCTTCCGTGCCATAACACACATACCATATTTTTCTGTTTATAAAACTCCCCCATTTATAAGACACCCCACCACCACCACTTCTTTAACCCAAAAATTAAGAAAACTTAGCTTTGAGTATTCAGCCTCTGGGCTCAGAACGCTTGGACATTAGGAGTCCTTGTTGAATCTGAGTCTACAGGCTCCACCTCCAACAAGGTGCGTTCCAATTAGTTTGTTCAGCATCAGCTGACGTCAGTTCCGTAAGGCTTCTGATTGGAGGCAGCTAAGCCTCATGATGGAAGGAAGCCTGTTTACGGAGGCAAGGTACAGGCCATTCTCTCCGTGTTCTCAGCTTCTGTGTATAAGATGCCCCTCAATTTTTAGTGTAACAATTTTAGGAAAAAGTAGTTTCTTATACACAGAAAACTACGATAGCTAAGTCTGTGGTACCCAAAAATCGTAAACAGAAGGCTGGTTGCAGTTACCCATGCTCTGGTCATGTGTGGTTTAGACTACTGTATTATGTCTAGGCTGTCTTTGAGGGCAAGGCAGAAACTTCATTAAATACAAAATATAACAATTAGATTACTGCCTAGGGCTTGTTTAATGGGGCATACCATATTTTTCTGTTTATAAGATGACCCAATGTATAAGATGACCCCCCCTTTTTCTAACCCCAAATTAGAAAAAGCATGGATCAAACGGCTCCCTTTTTGCTAAGCCCCGTGCCTTGGCAAAAGGCAAGGCAAGCAGCTGTCAAAGTGACTGCGGCTTTTCCTTGCCTTTTGAGAAGGCATGGAGCTTAGCAAAAAG